CGTGAACACATAAAAACTTGAGTGATTCAAGAATGTTTAATTCAGAAGATTGTAGGCTTTGCTTGTGTGGTCTTTTGAAGGTGAGGTCAGCTTTTTGTGTTGTGCTGCCAGCTAGATTTTCAGTTCAAAATTCCTTTTCCTTTGTCTTTACAATGTCGGCACGCTGATAAGTAAAAACGAATAGCTTCAGCCAATATTCTATCAAATATTGTGAAGTCTAAAAGGAAAAAGAAAAGCGTGAAGTCTTAACCTTCCTGCTGATATGAGATCTTCAGAAGGAGAAAAAAACACACACACACACACAAAAAGCGTAACGAAAAGAACGAAAGAAAATAATCGAACAAAAACAACGCAAACATCATGTTCCAGAAGGCGTGTCCCCACCAGCGGAACAGATCTGGATGATGCACCAACGAGGTACTACTTATCTTACCGAAACTCGGGTAGATAATAATTTCCCCCAAATAAAGTAATGAGAGGAAGAGATGACTTTTTTTCTTTTCTTCTTTTTTTTTTCGACTTAACCTCAGCTTCTCAATCTCAATGCATTAAGCTCACCCCTTACACTACCCACCTTTTCAGTTTTTCACCGATACATTTCGGCCCACGCACAAAGTTTGATCGAATTTTTTTTTTTTTAAATGTACCTAAAACACGAAAGTATTGTATGCGAGAATAATATGACCTACCTTAGTTCTTTGGCAAACTAATAAAATATAACATAGATTTTTTTTTAATTAATTTACAAAGTGATTGCGCATTTCTCCAATTTATTAATGACGTCTCATCATTTGAAGTATTATTCTTACGCCATGCAAAGAAAATTTTCTATGTGATACCTACTCTTCTTCTAATTGTTAATCATGGCTCTCCCCAACTTCCTGTCCTTTGTTGCTATAAGTAACTTCTGTCTGTTTACCACCAGTCTTTACCTTTGTTTTGAGATCCATTCATTTCTTTTTTATATATGTTATGTCTTCGGAAACTGGCCGATTATGACTCTCCACAACTTCTTGTCTTTTGTTGCTCTAAGTAACTTTTAACACTTTACTAAAATTCTTTGTCCTTGTTCTGCCATCCATTCACTTCTTCCATGTGGTATATATCTTCAGGACATGGCCGATCATGTCTCTCCACGACTTCCTGTCTTTTGTAACCTTAAGTAACTTTTGACACCTTACCAATACTCTTTGTCTTTGTTCTGCCATCCTTTCACTTCTTTTATGTGCTACGTCTATTCGGGTCACGGCTGATTATGGCCCTCCACAACTTCCTGTTTTTTGTTACTCTAAGTAACTTTGACTCTTTATCCTTCTTTGTTTTCATCCGCTATCCATTTACACGAGTTAGTTAAGTATGTTAATTGCTTTTTACCTCTATTTCCCTTGCTTTCAATATGCCCTGCGTGTGGTAAATCTCCAGACCCTCTTTCCTCTGATTGTAAGTATGTTTTCCTTATGCTTCTATGTGCTTCCTGGTGTTTCCTAAGACTTCCTGCTGACTCACATGTACTCTCAATGGTATACTTAGAATTCGTTAGTAGAATCTCATCTTAAATCTTTAATTAAGTTGCAATGAAACGTGGCACTGAAATCCGAAGACGCGTTGGAATAGCAATAAACGCCTTCCAAAAGCTTAAGGAAATATTAAAAAAAAAACGGGAAAATGTCATTAAACAAAGAAAAGAGTGAGGAAATTCTATATAATATCAGTCCTCTTATATAGCAGTGAATTCTGGACAATTTCTTCACAGATGAAGAGGAGACTTGAGGCAGCAGAGATGTGGTTCCACAGACGAATGCTGGGAATAACACAGACAAAGCATGTAAGTAACTAGGAAGTTTTAAGGAAACTAGAAACAAAAAGCATGCTTATAATTGGACAAAGTTCAGATTTCTAACGAACATAACGAGGGAAGAAAGCTTGGAAAATTTGATATTCACAGGATTTATTGAAGGCAAGAGGGAAAAAGAGAGTAACCTAATTTACAAGATTTTATGAATGAAAGGCAAAGCAACGTGTGCGAGGATAGTAAAAAGAAAAATATTGCTTAAAGCTACAAAAGGCAGGAAGTTGTGGAGAACCATGATCACTCACGCTATGAAGGGATACAACAGCACACAGAAGACTGCAATTATAAAATATCAAACATCTTTCTTGCGTTATCCTGCTCGACAACGATACTGCAAACTGGTGTCGCTAATGCAAGGAAAATAAACTTACTGCAGATTCACTGCTAAGTTAAAATATTACATAAATTATATATATATATATATATATATATATATATATATATATATATATATATATATATATTATAAAACTCCCTTTTCGGCCCTCTTTTAATTTCAATTTAACACTTCATTCTTCATATAACCTCAATTTAATGTCATAAGGTTAATATCCGCTTTAATTTTATAAAACCTCTTCCCTTTAAGGCTAATACCTTTAACTCTCCCCTAACCACCGACTCGGGCATTTCGTCTGACGGAAACATCGA